GAGACAGACAAGACAGTTAGACAAGACAGTTAGACAAGACAGCTAGACAAGACAGCTAGACAAGACAGTTAGACAAGACAGACAAGACAAGACAGACAAGACAGGTAGACAAGACAGTTAGACAAGACAGACAAGACAAGACAGGTAGACAAGACAGACAAGACAAGACAGACAAGACAGGTAGACAAGGTGGACAGTATTTATCCTCCTCACAAGCTGCTGTTGCTCCTTATGCCACTGGGTTTTGTTGTGTTTTATTTCCTGCTGTTTCCTGTCGGTTGAGGCTTTATCTTCCGTAGTTACCCAAAATGGGCAGCGTTATGCTGAGGTTTTTTCTTGTATTGGTGGATGTTTGGAAAATGTGTTGTTTCAGGAAGTGGCGTAGAATTCTGTGGCTTGCAGGACTTTAGCTTGGTGAGGTGTGGGTGCCGGAACATACTATTGTGCTGGTGGTAGTGCTTGTGGGTGATGTAGTTGGGGCTTTGTTGTGTCGAATGATGGACGGATTTACGGATCAGTGTGCGAGTGACTCTCCGGTATTACCTCGAGTGTCGCCAAATTATGACCCTGGACCTCCCAGGATACGGGGAAATGCACAAAGTAGAAACTGTTTTATAACGCACGTCTTGTATACCCTGTCTGCATTGTAATCAACCACTCCCGTGCTCTTGTAAACACTTGCCACACCTGGGGTAGGAGAGAGTGACGGTATTGAAAAACCTGGAACATTTTGTCGTATATGTGGAGGCATGTTGGTGAAATCTGGCACTCGTGAGAATAAGGAACACAAAGAAACGGACAAGTTGCTTCCCTTTGGACAGTTTTTATCCATTCTTGTTGTTGTGCTTAACACTTTTTATCATTTGAAAACATTTCTTTGTGGATTGTATGCAGTTGAAAACACATTTCTTTGTGGATTGTATGCAGTTGAAAACACATTTCTTTGTGGATTGTATGCAGTTGAAAACGCCGTAAAACCTCTACTAAAACTAAAGCTAACTTTGTGGATTGTATGCAGTTGAAAACGCCGTAAAACCTCTACTAAAACTAAAGCTAACTTTGTGGATTGTACTGAAAAACATTGATCTAAGGCACAACAAATGGAAATTTGCATTTTCCAAGGACACAGGGGGGACTCGGGTTTGATTCCTGAGTTGGGAGAATTTGTTTGTTTTTAATTGAGTA